CAACTAAATCAGACCAACGTTTAGATATATCCCAAGGGCGAACAGTATTACTAAGATCAGCAGCGTGTAGTAATACTTTTAATAAAAGTTCACGTTGTTCAGAATCTAAAGCGGTGGAGATAATGGAAGCACGTCTTCGAGGGCGGGGTTGATACCTCCTTGAAGATTTTATATAAGCGGAAGAATTTTCAGGGGAAGAAGATATTGAAGAAGATATTGAAGAAGCAGAAGAAGTACAATCATTATCAATTTCTTCACCGGATTCTTCAGATGAACAAGGAGAAATAGATTTTATCATATTATGTAAAGATTCTAATAAATCAAAGTGAAAAGACATGTCGGTTGCCAAGATTGTTTTTGAAATTAAATCTTTGAGAGTGATATCAACATCTTTTGGATCACAACCCAAATATTCGTTACTACTAGAATGTACATTGCGAAAAAGTCCATGGTTTGTTATAATGTCCATTGTAAGAGTACAAGAATGATTTTCCAACACTGATTGATCATTATATCTAATAGCGAGATCCGTTCGTGCATTAACCTGATACACATTATTCAAACCGGGCTAATATAAAAAATAGAATAAAGATAAAGAGAACAAAGAATTAGTAAATTTTATATAATTTTATATAATTTTAAATATCGCGTGGTATACACATACATATATACATACATATGTTACACGTACTTGATATATATATATAAATAATATATATATATAAGTATGTATTATATTACTTAATATGTATGTATTGTATGTATATTATATACTAAATATATTTATATATATATATATATATATTTATATTTATATATATATATTTATATTTATATATATATATTTATATTTATATATATATAATATAATATATATATATATTTAATATGTATAATAATTAATATGTATAAATACTTACGTGACCTATATCATGACATAAACCAGCTATAAGTAAGCAAATAGCATCCAAGGAAGTTAGATATTTTGCAGCACCCAAGTCGGTAAGAATATAATAAAGGACAGCCACTACATCGACAGCATGATAAAAAGAATGATAGGAAGTTTTGAAATAGCCTTTTTCAACATCGATAATGAAATCCAACATTTCAGATTTACGAATCCCAAGAGTATTCTTTAGTCCAAGTTTTACAAACATTCCCAAAACTATTCCATATAATTCAGGTATCTGCCAATCCCATACTTTAAATTTCATTCCAAATTTTGAACCTAGTTTGTTGTCTACAAACTTGAGCATTGTCTAAAAAGTTGCAAAAGTTACAGAAAGTATAGAAGAGTTAGTTACTTAACGTTTTCTTTGTTTATAAAAATAAAAAAACTTGGACGTACTCGTTCACAGGTAATAAGGTGTTCAGAAGAAAGTGCATTACGTTTTGGGACGAGCATTTTGTATTAAGGTAACTCTATTATAAGTTATGTAGCCACTATTCGCTTATATATTAGTTTTTTTTTTATATCGTTCCTTTAAAAGGGAACAACCGAGTTTCACCAGAAAGATAGTTTTATATACAAGCACAAAATTAACAGGTAATTCGTGCTAATTACTCGAGAAGAATTTTTTTTTTTTTTTTAAAAAAAAATTTTAGAAAAAATAAAAAAAATACTAGCACGTATTTATAGAAAAAAAATTCATGCATAGAAAAAAGGATTTTTTATACATATAAAGTAAAAAAAGATTTTAGAATGTGAAGCGTATAAATTGTATAAATTATATATAGCATAAATAAATAAAATAAAATTAAAATAATTAAATTATTATAAAAAAAAAATTTCGGTATATCGGTATAGTATAATATAGTATTAGTCACTACATATAGTCACTACATATATATAGTCACTACATATATAGTTATTACATATATAGTCATTACATATAGTCATTACATATAGTCACCACATATAGTCACTACATATAGTCACTACATATAGTCACTACATTTAGTCACTACATATAATCATTTCACTTTTTCGTGTAATCCCATTTTTCTACATGGAAATGTTAAAAAAAAGCGTGCCACACCACGGTTCTCATTTAAAAATTTTATGACTAACTTTTTTTGGTATAGCATTTTTTTTCGGCCAGTGAATTTTAGTTAAAGGTTTTTATTTGCGTGATATCTCTGATCACCAGCAACTTTAAAATGAGTCTGGTGCCGGTAATCTTTGACAAAGAAAAACGTATACAGAAGGCCCATACAGAGATTCTCTGAAGAGACTTTTTTGGTAACACAATTTAGAAGAACAAGACAGGTTTAGGCATGTTTTGATTACACGGCTCATCCATGAGAACAAAGAAAAAAAAAA